GAAAAGATAAGGAAAGTAAGCAGGAAGATGGAAATTCTAAGAATTTTTAAATACCAGAAATGAAAAGCACTAGCAGAAATAAAGAATGCTTTTAATGGGTTCATCAGTAGATTGGGCACAGCCAAGGAAAGAATGAGTAATCCTGAAGATAGGTCAATAGAAACTTCTCAAATCAAAATGCAAAGAGGAAAAGAAATAATGAAAAAAGAAAAGAGTATTTAAGAATTACAAGACATTTTCACATGATGTAACATGTGTAAATGGATTACTAAAAAGAGAGAATGAAACAAAGAAATATTTGAAATGATAATGCAGACACCTTTTCAAAATTAGTGGTAGATACCAATCCACATATCCAGAAAGCTCAGTTTTTATAACACCATTCAGTACAAAAAACAAAAACACCGTGTTTAAGCATATGATAGTCAGGCTACAAAAAACCAGGCATAATGAAAAAATTGTGAAAGAAACAAGAGGGGAAAACACTTTGCCCATAAGAGTACCAGAATAAGAATCATAGTAAACTTCTTACTAGAAATCATGCAAGAAGTGAGTGACAAAAAGACAAGTCAATAAAGAAAGAATAATCTTTTCAGCAAATGATGCTGAAGCAATTGGACATACATATGAATAGACATTTTATTGGATAGTATATAGGTAGCAAATAAATAAAAAGATGTTTGACATCATTAAGCATCAGGGAAATACAAATTTAAACCACAATAAAATATTGCTACACTACTATCATTATGAGTAAGATAAAAATAATAGTGATGATACCAAATGCTAGCAAGTAAGCTGAGCAACTGAACCACCCATGCACTGCTAGTTGAAATCTAAAGTTTTATAACTACTCTGGAAGACAGTTTGTTGGTTTCTTATAAAACTATGCAATAACTAAAGACCCAGCAATTGCACAGCTAGACATTTATTCCAGAGAAATGAAAACATATGTCTACTCAAAATCTGTACACAAATGTTCGCAGTGGTTTTATTTATAATAGCCTAAACCTGGGGGGGGAAGTCTTCAGTAGGTGAATGGTTAAACAGTGGTATATCTATACATGAAATATTACTCAGCAATAAAAAGGGATGAAGCATTGTTACATACAACAACCTGGATGAATCGCAATAAGTAATCCTGCTGAGTGAAAAAAAAAAAACCAATCCCCAAAGCTCACATATGTATGATTTCACTTATATGCCATTCTTGAAACAAAAAAATACATAGAAATGGAGGACAAATTAGTTACCAGAGATTGGGAAGGGAGTGATGAAAAAGCAAATTTATCTATTTTTTCCTATAAAAGGGCAACTGGAAGGATTTTCCTGCTAATGAAACTTCACTGTATCTGGACTGCATCAATTTCAATATCCTAGTTGTGATATTGTACTGCCGTTTTGCAAGATGGTATTATTGAGAAAACTGGGTACAGAATACCCAGTATGTTAGATACCAATCCACAGATCCAGGAAGCTCGGTTATTAATAACACCATTCAGGATAAATACCCAAAGTATTTATCACTATTGTCACTATTATTTTTATCTAACTCAGGACCTCCCTGCATTGATTCTTAAAACTTCATGTGAATCTACAAGTATTTTAAAGTAAAAAAATAAATAAAATATCAGAAGATAGTGGTGTCACCAAGACCAAAGAAAGTAAGTGTACTAGCAAAGTTTATTAAGAGTAATAATAGATTATTAGTGATGATTGAAGAATAAAAGAGAGTTAATAAAAACGATACAGAAGACACTTTTCTTTCAATGAGCTTAGTAAAGAGAGATATGGCAATTGGTACAAGGTGATGAAGAATGAAGAAATCGTTTCTAAAGATGGGAGACACTTGATCGTGTGAACAAGGGAGCTAATAGGTAGGGCGAGATTAAAGGTTCAGGCAAGAGAATTGATAATAGTGTAAGCAAGTTTTTAGGGGAGGTGGGGAAAGGGAAGGAAAGTAGAGGGGAGAGAGCAAGTGTAGATAAACTAGAGTAGAAACTTCTAAGACTGAAAAAAAAACCTTCTAAGATTGAAGGAATGCAATGCAATATGGAGTGAGAACTAGTGAAGTCTAAGAGATCTCTGTAGGTGTAGGGACAACGAGTTGAAGTTAGCTTCAATTTCCTCTAGGAAACAGGAGTCTAAACCATTGTATGGGCTGTGGTGATGATAGAGTAAAAGGGAGCTGCTATTTGAGTGGAGTGATGAGGAAACTTGGTATGCAGATGGATGGCAAACTGGAGAAATAGATAGTCTAGAGTATGTGAAAGGATTGCTGAGTGGTCTGAAAGCCCAGCTGAGGTTAAAACTCCTGACTATTTGAGGTACCAATACTTGTGGGTGCTGCTCTTTTCTCCCACAGTGGTCACTATGAAATTGGAGAACTCATTTGTTTGGAGATACTAAAAACTGGAACTACGTAGTGTAGACATGGTATTTGGAGGTCAAGGGAATGAAAATGTAGTCAATACTAAATCAATATTCCTCCTGGCTGGATAAGGAAACAGTGACAAGAAAAGGAAGGGTTTACACGCACTGGACCCCTCAGTGAGGCCAAAGAGCAGATGGGATGAGATGCAGCCTTCGCTAGATTTGGGTCTCAGTGGGATATTCAAGTTGAAGCCACATCCCATACCCAGTGGTGCCAAGTGACTAGAAGGGGCTGAGGTGCTAAGAAGTTTCAGGTCAAAGAGGTGGGAGGCCAGAGTGTGTGGGGGATCTTCCATGTGGATTTTGAGGGGGGTTTTCCATGTTCAGATATTGTTTAGATCACTCAAGATGAAGACAAGGCTTGGAGTGTTAAGAAAGCCTGTGAGCTGGTCCTTAGAGTACGGAGAAGAGTGAGGATAAAATCCACATCTACATCTACGTGCACTCTCAGCCTCAGTCTCTTAGTTATAGTAGTCGGCACTGGGAAGGAATGTAAGATCAGGTAAAAGCCTGATTTCAGGGAAGGTCAAAAGTTGAAGGAAATGTTTTGAAACAATCTGCTTTGCTGTTTGTTATCTGGTTTATTTGCGTTTATAAGTTGAGTGGAGAAAGCACAAGTAAACTCTTTATGGAACACATTTTACTTTTTTGACCCCATAAAGTCCTGGAATTACAGTCAGAAAGTCTGCCTGAATTTTAACACCGGATCTCTGACCTCAGGTAAGTCCTTTCCCAGTCCAAGCCCTAATATGACCATTCACTTAACAAGATATTGGCATGGATGAGCTCTACATTTTCTGCTGACTCTAATAGCTATAGGCCCAAGGTACAACTGCTAAGATCTGCATTAAATATCACAGTTATTGCCTAATAGCTTGTCCAATCTGGAGAGAAAGGACCTATAAGGAAGAAACCTGAAACTTGCTTGTTGAAAGTGCAAACCCCAGCCGGGTTCGGTGGCTCAGTCTGTAATCCCGTGCCTTTGGGAGGCCGAGGCGAGTGGATTGCCTGAGCCCGCGGGTTCGAGACCTGCCTGGGCAACTTGGTGAGACCTCTTCTCTACAATAAATCAAAAAATTAGCTGGGTGT